CTTCTACGTCATCTCAAATCTTAAAAGGAATCACACCATTTTAAGTAAGACCTTTAATGAACTTACGTTGCTTTCAGTCTAATATACGATGATTACATCCTCTATATCTGCGACTACGAATCTCATTCATGCATTCAAACTGTGAAGGTTGACGTGTGCATGTTCAAAGAGCATGTCTGTGACACTTTCCCCTTGTATATTCAAACAAACGTGAACCACAAGAGAAATAAAACAGTCTACAAAAACCTCAGAGGATTTTGTGTCTATGTTACATTCGGTAAACAAAAAGGAAAAGGTGACATCCGTCATCACAGAAATGTCTCACGATCTCGGTCTGTGAAAGGTTCACTGAGGTCCGTGTTCGCGGCCTCCGGGATTAGAGCGTGAAAAAGCTCGCTAGTCGCTCGCGTGACGCTGTCGTACGATGGCGGAGACGAAGTAGCCGACAGCGTTTCCGTAACTTCGGCTTCGACGCCGTAGTTCTCCATTATCATGGCAACTATAAGTCCTTCGTTCTCCGGCAAACTGTCGCCGTCTTTGGCAGCGTCTGGCATGTGGAGTTGACGATAAAGTAGCGAGGCTTGTTTCAGCTGCCGTCGAATTAGATGCCTCCGATATGCGCGTTGGATCATGATTGCGGAAACGTCCTCTTGCTTGCGCCGAAGCGTCGTTGTGATCGGTTCGTACGAAATCTTAGACGGGTTCGCCATCATGAACTTCTCCTCCATTTGTTGCTTCAACGCGTCCATTTCGTCCGACTCTCCAAGAACGCGTTTGGTGAACGCGAAGAGGATATCCAAACAATGGATCTTGTCGCCGCTCACCATCGGAAGGTCCATGGAAATCAGTTTGATTTTGTTGGGCTTGCCGATGCGCAGCGGCTCAGAAAGCGAGTCGGCGAAATTCGAGAGTTTGGAGAATTCGATAAACTGCGTCGCCTCCGGATCGAACTTCTCCCAGACTTCGTAAAACATCTCGAAGTCGTCCTCGCTCAGCGGCTCCGTGCTCTCCTCAGTGGCCACGCTGAAGTTCTCCAATATAATCGCGATGTACATGTTCACCACGATGAGAAACGAAATAATAATGTAGGTTACGAAGAACGTGATGCCCACCGAAGGATTCCCGCAGTTTCCTCGAACGTTCGTCCCGGTGTGAGGAATATCCGGGTCGCACTCTTCCGGAGAGTTGTTGAGGATTGGATTGAGCAGATTGTCCCATCCGGCCGACGTTGTGATCTGGAAGAGGCAGATCATGCTGTTGCCGAACGTTTCGAAGTTGAACATGTCGTCAATGCCGCCTTGTTTCTTGACGTAGGCGAAGTTGGCCATGCCGAAGATGGCGTAGATGAACATGACGAGGAACAGCAGGAGGCCAATGTTGAAGAGCGCGGGGAGAGACATCATTAAAGCGAAGAGCAGCGTCCGGATTCCCTTCGCGCCGCGGATGAGCCGAAGGATTCGTCCGATTCGAGCCAAGCGGATGACGCGGAAGAGCGTTGGCGAGACAAAGTACTTCTCGATGATATCCGCCAGAACAATGCCTGGAACGAGAAAGAGACACCGATTAGAGTTAGCATTTGAGTTCACTTTTTGGTAACACTTTAGAATAGGGAACACTTATTCACTATTAACTACGAGTTTTCCCTCAATAAATAACTAATTTACTGCTTATTAATAGTTAGTAAGGTAGTTGTTAAGTTTCGGTATTGGGTAGGATTAGGGATGTAGAATAAGGTCATGTAGAATACGGCATTAATTTGTGCTTAATTAGTACTAATAAATGGCTAATATTCTAGTAATATAGATGCTAATAAGCAACTAGTTAAGAGACCCTAAAATAAAGTGTTACCCACTTTTTTTAACCCGATTAATCGCATCCAAAATAAAAGTTTTTGTTTACATAATATATCTGTGTGTACTGTGCACATTTATTTTGTATATAATAAATACACACACATACAGCATATATTTCGAAAATGTATTTACATGTGTATATATTTATATTCATATAATTTACATTATATATAAATATATTTAAAATAGAAACAACATATTTTTCTTAAATATATACATGCATGTGTGTGTATTTATATATACATAATAAATATACACAGTACACACACATATATTATGTAAACAAAAACTTTTATTTTGGATGCGCTTAATCGCGATGATTCGTTTGACAGGACTAATATAACGATAACGATATTAGCATCCACTCCAGCGGACGATATCGTCTGTATATTCTAAGCTCGTCTGTCGCTTTAAATTCTCCAGCTCGTTATAGCAGGATGGATTCTGATTGGCTGTCAATATTTGTATCGTTCATCAGCTGGGGAAAAAAATGTTCTGAAAGTGATTCTAACGATATCGTTTCTCTGTGCCTTTATCGTTATAGCTGTGGTGTGGACTCTGCTGTTCTTTAATATTGAGAACGATTTTTAGAACTATATCTTTATCGTTATCTTTATAGTTATCGTGCTTGGTGTGAACAGGCCTTGACTGTCACAGTGCCACAATGGAGTGCCACAAGGATCTGTCCTAGGTCCTCTGCTATTTTCGATATACATGTTGCCCCTTGGTAATATTATTAGAAAATACGGGATTAGTTTCCACTGTTATGCCGATGATACTCAACTATATATCTCAGCAAGACCAGATGAAACTTCTAAATTATCTAAGCTAACAGAGTGTGTTAAAAATGTAAAAGATTGGATGACCAATAATTTTCTCTCAATAATTAAATTCGGATAAGACAGAGATATTGCTGTACAAATAAACTTAAACTTGACTCCCATTTTTGAACATAGACGTGAAAGTGCACTATCCAAATTTTTATAATTCATGAAAGAAAACATTTTGTAATATGATTTTGATGTACCATTTCTATGCAATGTCTGGATGTCACAGGATACATTTTGAGATTTTAAGCTTTCAATTGATATATAATTTATGATGATTTCTAAAGCGTAAAAACACTTAAAACAATTACATATCACTGAGTCTTCTATTTGCCGCATTATTGTTTTAAAATGATCCAAACACAGCAAATTTTGTCATTTCAATTTCGATTGAAGAAGATCTTACAATAGTGGTTTTAACATCAAAATCTAACATTTATGTAACCATCTCACTTTAAATACTTTGGTGAGTTAATAAGAATATTGGTAACACTTTAGTGTCCAATTCTCACTATTAACTAGTTGGTTATTAGCATGAATATTACTGGGATATTGGCTGTTTATTATTACTTTTTTTTTGCAAGACCTTATTCAAAACCCTTAATCCTACCCGATTCTTAAACATAATTGTCAACAACTACTTTACTAAGCATTAATACGCAGTAATTAGGAGTATATTGAGGCAAAAGTCATAGATAATAGTTAGTAAATAGTGAAAATTGGACTGAGTGACCAGAATAATTTATGTAGTTACTTGAAAGAATTAAAAGAACGTTTCATGTCTGTCCTTGTATCATTAACTTGTCAAGGTTGATTTAGAAAGTAATAAGTAATTAAATACTTTTTGGAGAGAGTAATTTGTACAGTAATCTAATTACACGGTTGAAGATGTAATTAGTAACTTGTAATTAACTACTTTTTTAGAGTAACTTACCCAGCACTGTTACTGACCTTGACCACCTTGATTTATTGAACAGTCGGTCCCACTTAAGAGTTAAATGGCTGGCTTTTACATTTGCTGCGGTGCGTCTTTAAGCTTTTAACCCTGTGGCGATACAGACGGCAGCAGGGGGTCGTGGCACAAAACCACGTCAAGCTTTTAGCTCGGACTGAGAGCTCAATCACCTGAGCTGACAGCCCTGATTGCCCAAATTACCTTCACCTTAAACCATCTCGTCTGTTAACCCCTCTGGCTTTCCTCATTCTCTCATCGGGGTCACGAGGGGCGTCTGTTCTCAAAATCACCTCGTCGTGTCACTTAAGCACCGACTGTCTATTTATTAGTTGGTGAAGTGCTACAAAATTGCATTGAATGCCTTTAGACCTTGATATGTAATGCCGAGGCCAGACGGTAAAGCTACTGTATCTTACAAAGAGAGACATTACACAATTTCATCTACGATTTAATAGAACTGGTTGCCTCACGCAGAAAGAATATAATACTTTAAATTTGTTTTACACTATTTTACTTGTTATATTTATTAAAATAGTTATTTTTAACAAAGTTGGAAAAGGGTGTGAGACACGAAAAATGTTTGATTAAAACTACATAATTAAATAAATCAAACAATAAATAATAAAAACAGTATTAAAAATACATATTTTATATTTTTTACTTTTTTTAAAGTGACCAGTGACAAAAATTTATTTATATATATATATATAGAGAGAGAGAGAGAGAGAGAGAGAGAGAGAGAGTTATTAAATTTAAGTTATTCAAAATCTTTACACTTTTTCTGCTTAGTTATTAAAATATATATCAGACTAAATTAAAATATTTATCATTTAGTTGAAGAAGTATGGGTGACACGAAAAAAGTAGAAATGTATTTATAGTTATTAAAAATAATAAAATGTAAAACACATTTTAGTGCTATTTAATATTATTCATTTAATTATTTTAATGACTATGTTTTTTTTCACACCAACCACACTTTTTCAGGGCAACAATTAAAATACATATTATATTGAAAAAATATAGGAGACATGAAAAATCTATAAAAAAATTAAATGTACAAAAATAAGTTTTAATATTATTTAATGACACTCTTTTCAGCTTTGTAATATGTAATTAAAATATATATTAGACTGAAAAAGTATGGATGTCATGAAAAAAAAATTATATTTAAAATGACACTGTTTCATCTAATAATCAAAATATATATATATTTTAAAAAATGCATATATTTGTATATTTATATTTAAAAATTATTTAAATTATCATTTTAGCTAAGTTGAACAAATATGGGTGACATATTATACAAATTATATATATTAATAGTTATTAAAAATAAAAGTAGTAAAATAAATTGTAATATTATTTATAAGTCCACAAAGTCAAAGATGTTCCAGCTGACGGTGAAGAAGTAGCAGCGCAGCGCGATGAGCTTGATGATGCACTCGGTGGTGAAGATGACGATGAAGGCCAGGTTGATGTAGTAGAGTATATACTCGATGCTGGCAGACTGCTCGTCCGTCTCCACCATCATCGTCACCATGTTGAGGATGATCAGCAGCATTATGATGATGTCAAAGGCTTGTTTGGACACCAAGTCGAAGAAGAATCCTTGGATCGAGTTCTGAGAAGAAAACAATCCAACCAAGAAGATTCAAAGAGTCAAAATCCACCAGAATCATTGATATATGTCCCTGGAGTCATCAGTAGCACAGGTTTCATATTTGTAGCAATAGCCAACAATACATTGTATGGGTCAAAATTATCCATTTTTCTTTTATGCCAAAAATCATTAGGATATTAAGTAAAGATCATGTTCCATGAAGATATTTAGTAAATGTCCTACCGTAAATATATCAAAACTTAATTTTTGATTAGTAATATGCATTGCTAAGAGCTTTGGACAACTTTAAAGATGATTTTCTCAATATTTGGATTTTTTTGCACGCTCAGATTCCAGATTTTCAAATAGTTGTATCTCGACCAAATATTGTCCGATCCTAACAAACCATACAGCAATGGAAAGATTATCTATGCATACATCTCAATTGACCCTTATGACTGGTTTTGTGCTCCACGGTCACATTTCGATCAAAAACCCATTGAATACTCACAGTAGGTCTTGGGATGGGTTTCTGAGGTTTCTTGGATCCCAGTTTCTTCATGGCGTTATAATATTTCTTCTGTTCTTCTGTCATGAAGATGTCCTGTCCTCCTAAGTACAGAGAAACTCTTCTGTTATTATTACTTTCACCATCGCATCCACACGCTTCATGCTCATGATTCTGCTGGTTTTAATACTTATCTTTCGCTTCTGTTGGTTGAAATTGTCAATGATGACACCGATGAAGAGATTGAGTGTGAAGAAGGAGCCGAAGATGATGAAGATGACGAAGTACAGGTACATGTACAGGCTGTTCTCTTTAATGGGCTGCTCTTCCACCTGTTCCAGTAGATTAGAGACGCTCAGATTAGCAAACGATGCGTTCATATGGGTTTCAATCTGGTTTTATGAGCTCAGAACGGTTTTACTTACGGATCGTGAGTCGACCGCGGCGTACATGATCTCCATCCAGCCCTTGAACGTGGCCTTGAGAAGGAGAACAAATATGAAATATACACATTTAAAAACAAAACAAACATGAACTGAAACTGGGAGGAAAAATAAATAAAACAAAAAATTATTAAAAAAAATATATGCAAAAAAAAAAAACTTAAAACAGTAACTAATAAAAATGACAAAACTCAATCTGAAAAAACTTAAAACTGAAATAATAAAAAATAAAAACTATACAGACATGTAAAAAAAAAACGTAACTAACTAATAAAAATGACAAAAGTCAATATGTAAAAAATGTAAAACTTACTAAAACAACAAACTGAAATAAAAAAAACTATATACAGATATAAAAAACAGTAACTAATACAATGAACAAAATTAAGTCTGTAAAACAATTAAATCAAAAATATAAAATTGAAATAAAACATCATAAAAACTATGCTGACATTTAAAAAAAACAGTAAGTACTGAAAATGACAAAAGTCATAAACAAAAACAGCTAAAATAAAAATAAAAACTATATAGACTTATTTGAAAAAATACTAATAATAACTAATGCAAATAACATTTGTATCACATTAAATGTTTTTAAATAAATAAACAAAAGATTAATTAAAAATTTTTTTTTTTTTTTACATTTTTTAAACTTATGTTATTTCTGAATTTCAATGCAAAAAAAAAAACATTCAAACAAAAATATCAATTAGAAATATTGGATTTTTTTCTATTTTCTTTTGTGTCAGAAAAAGGTTCAAAAGTTTGTTAAGAATGTTTTGAAAAAAACAGATAATTACAGCTAATTGAAGTACTGAGGAGTGGGAAAATCTGGATTTTCTGTGCGTGAGTGAGTGAGTGAGTGAATGGGTGAGTGAGTGAGTGAATGAATGAGTGAATGGGTGAGTGAGTGAGTGAGTGAGTGCGTGCATGAGTGAGTGTGTGTGTGAGTGAATGGGTGAGTGAGTGAGTGAGTGAATGTGTGAGTGTGTGAGTGAATGGGTGAGTGAGTGAGTGTGTGTGAGTGAGTGAGTGAATGTGTGAGTGTGTGAGTGAATGGGTGAGTGAGTGAGTGCGTGAGTGAGTGAGTGAATGTGTGAGTGTGTGAGTGAATGGGTGAGTGAGTGAGTGTGTGTGAGTGAGTGAGTGAATGTGTGAGTGTGTGAGTGAATGGGTGAGTGAGTGAGTGTGTGTGAGTGAGTGAGTGAATGTGTGAGTGTGTGAGTGAATGGGTGAGTGAGTGCGTGAGTGAGTGAGTGAATGCGAATGTGTGAGTGTGTGAGTGAATGGGTGAGTGAGTGAGTGCGTGCGTGAGTGAGTGAGTGAGTGAGTGAGAGAGTGAATGAATGAATGAGTGAGTGAGTGAATGCGTGAGTGAGTGAGTGAGTGAGAGAGTGTGTGAGTGAATGCGTGAGTGAGTGAGTGAGTGAATTAATTAATTAATTAATTAATTAATGAGTGAGTGAGTGAGTGAATGGGTGAGTGAGTGAGTGAGTGAGTGCGTGAGTGAGTGAGTGAGTGAGAGAGTGTGTGAGTGAATGCGTGAGTGAGTGAGTGAGTGAGAGAGTGTGTGAGTGAATGCGTGAGTGAGTGAGTGAGTGAGAGAGTGTGTGAGTGAATGCGTGAGTGAGTGAGTGAGTGAATTAATTAATTAATTAATGAATTAATGAGTGAGTGAGTGAGTGAATGGGTGAGTGAGTGAGTGAGTGAGTGAGTGAGTGAATGTGTGAGTGCGTGAGTGAGTGAGTGAGTGAGAGTGAATGAATGAATGAATGAATGAGTGAGTGCGTGAGTGAGTGAGTGAGAGTGAGTGAGTGAGTGAATGAGGGAATGAATGAGTGAATGAATGAGGGAATGCGTGAGTGAGTCAGTGAGTGAGTGAGTGAGTGAATGAATGAATGAATGAATGAATGAATAGATGACAGAGGGCCGCTTTCAGAGAGTGCCAGAAGTCACTACGGTTGGTCTTTTCTTGGTCTTAGTTAGCAGTAATTACAGGTCTTGTGAAGGACTATTTGAAGATGCAAATGAAAGGTGTGTATTGGGTGAAGTCACAAGAAGGTGATGGAAAGGAGCTAAGTGACTTGTTGCTAGGTTACCGCATCAACTAAGTTAAAAGGAAGAATGAAGTGTGTTCGCTCTTGCTGAGCACAAACTTCGGTATAATGGCAGCAGCGGCTGCTAAAAATAACGCTTGCACAGAGTCGCTGATTGATTCGCTCTCGGACAGACGGAGGTGGCCAGCGGCGGGAAGGAAAAGGAGCGAGAAACTAAAGCTAAAGCTAAAGCTCAGCACCTGATGCAGCACGAGAAAACCGGCGCCACCTTAGCAGAACCAACTCCAACAGAACAGACAAATGTGCCTTTTAGGAGCAATAACACTTTATTTTCATGAGAAAATGCTCCCAAATAAAATAAAAAAATAAATAGAAAATGTACTATTTATTTATTAATAGTAATAATAATAATAATAATATACAGATAGATAGATAAATAATTCAATACATAAATATAGAAATATAAAAATAAAATAATAAAATATAATTGCCTAAATTTAAGATTTATTTATTTGAATTGCATATAAAATTTCCAGTATAAACCAGCATACATTTGCATAAATTAGTTTTTTCATTTTAAAATGATATTTTTAATGGTAGGTATTTTTATTTTTAGTTAACAGTAATAATGATATGATCATAAGTGGATGTTGCCATTTTCTACTAACTGCTTAAATATAATTTCAATAAATAATAATATTAATACATAGAAAAATAAGACATAAATAATGAAATATAAAACATAAAATAATAAAATATTAATACCTAAATAAATAATATAATATTAAATTTAGACCTAAATAATTTTATTTACACATTTAAATAGATGTTTTTGCTATTTTCTACTAACTATTTATAAATTTTAAAAAAATTTAATCTAATTAATGCCTAAATTTAAAATGTATTTATTAGACCTGCAAATAAAGTTTCCAGCACATTAAAATGTTTATAAATCTGTTTTTAGACGCAATAAAACATTATTTTCAAATGCCTCCAAATTCTAATAAAAATAAATCAATAGAAACATAACTTTAATATATTATATTATTATATTATATATTATATTATTAATAATATAGAAAAATAATAAATAAAAATGCCTAAGTTTAAGATTTATTTAAATTAATTTTTTTATTCAGATTTATTTGCGAATATTTTCACAATGCGCTCCTTCAAACTGGTTAGAATCAACATGAATCTGTTCACTGTGAAAACAATTACATTTCTTCAGTTTAAAAGTATGAACATGGTTAACACGGCTAGATGGAACAAGCAATATTGCATTAGTTTGTTAGCATCATAATGCACATGAGGAAAGGTTTAGTGGGTTATTAACAGAAGCAAAGCCTCACCACTTGCAGCAGCGAGAGGTACCCGGCGCCCACGTTGTCGAAGTTGACCTTGACTTTGGTCCAGTAGTACTGCGTGCTGTTCATCTCCAAGCACTCGCTCTTGTTGTTGATGAAGGAGGCGTTGAAGATGAAGCCGGTGCGGTTGACGCAGCGGCCGAACTTCCCGGCGAACAGGTTGACTCCCATGATGCTGAAGATGAGCCAGAAGATCAGACACACCAGCAGCACGTTCATGATGGACGGGATCGCGCCGATCAGAGCGTTCACCACCACCTGATGCAAACAGAGCATTAAAATTAAAATGCATCATCTGAAAGCTGAATAATAATCTTTCCATTGATGTAAGGTTTGTTAGGAGAGGACAATATTTGGCCGAGATACAACTATTTGAAAATCTGGAATCTGAGGGAGCAAAAAAATCTAAATATTGAGAAAATCATCTTTAAAGTTGTCCAAATGAAGTTCTTAGCAATGCATATTACTAATCAGACATTAAGTTTTGATATATTTACGGTAGGACATTTACTAAATATCTTGATGGAACATAATCTTTACTTAATATCCTAATGATTTTTGGCATAAAAGAGAAATGTATAATTTTGACTCATACAATGTATTGTTGGCTATTGCTACAAATATCCCCCAGCGACTCAACACTGCTTTTGTGCTGCAGGCTCACATATATTTTATAATATATATTTTCATTAACAATAATAATAATATTTATTAATATACATATATATAGTTATATACAAAATATATAGAAAAATATAAATTAATTTCCATCCATTTGGATTACATAATAAATAACACAAAAAATAAGGTATAGTTTATTATTAACTATTTGCATTTATTTAAATAATCGTTTTTGAATTTATTATGTAATCAAGTTAATTTATTCATTATTATTGAATATTTTTTTTATTTATTCCATTGAAAAGTATGAACATGATTAAAATATGGATAAAAAGCAATTACAAATGTAATAATATTTTATGCTAAAACTGTGTAATCAAATAAATAAACCCTAAACGTAGGCATTCATATTTTTCTATTTATGCATTATATTTCTATATATTATATATTTATGCTGATTTACAAAAAAAAAGGAATATAAAACTTTTTTTTAAAATCCTAATGGTCTTAAAATAGGCTTCAACTTCTGTATTTAAAATGTTTTAATTTTAGGCTGAAATAAACCGTCTTTGACGCGCTTCGTAAGATTCATCCTGAAATATTATCGTTATGCTTGCTGCTCGTGAATATGCTTTGCGAATATCTTTTAACTGTGTGAAATAAAGCGGGTGATGAACCCACAGCAGATCACAACCATCACAGAAACAACACTACATGAGCATCAACGCACTTCAGTTTATAGATTTAATCCATTTCTAATCAAACGTGCATTTCTTCAGTGGTTAAGGCAAGACACTACAGGCAAAAATATGCTTTTCATAACGTGATGCTTCAGACTAGTGTAAAGAAAACATCCAAAATACATTTCAAGCTTGTTTCATTATTTATGACTTTTATTTTAGTTATAATTGTTTCGGGGTAGAGAAAGAAAACATCCAAAAATACACTTTTATGTTATTATTTTAATTTTAATTAAAGTTGTTTCAGGCCAATGTAAAGAAAACATCCAAAAAACACTTTTAAGTTTATTTTTTATTTTTATTTTAGTTATAATAATTTTAGTTTTATTTCATTGACTTTATTTATCTATTTGCGTCTGTAGATTTGTATTTTAATATAGTTTTTATAGTATAGTTTTATATAGTTATCTAAAACTGAGACCATAAAATATGTTTTGTTGCTTGAAATAAAATAAACTTTAACTGAAATAAAATAAAACTTAAACTTATTTTTAAGCTGGTTTCCAAAATGAAATTTTTGATTTTCATATATATGAATATATATAAATATATATATATATATATATATATATATATATATATATATTTATATATATTCATATATATGAAAATCAAAAATTTCATTTTGGAAACCAGCTTAAAAATAAGTTTAAGTTTTATTTTATTTCAGTTAAAGTTTATTTTATTTCAAGCAACAAAACATATTTTATGGTCTCAGTTTTAGATAACTATATAAAACTATACTATAAAAACTATATTAAAATACAAATCTACAGACGCAAATAGATAAATAAAGTCAATGAAATAAAACTAAAATTATTATAACTAAAATAAAAATAAAAAATAAACTTAAAAGTGTTTTTTGGATGTTTTCTTTACATTGGCCTGAAACAACTTTAATTAAAATTAAAATAATAACATAAAAGTGTATTTTTGGATGTTTTCTTTCTCTACCCCGAAACAATTATAACTAAAATAAAAGTCATAAATAATGAAACAAGCTTGAAATGTATTTTGGATGTTTTCTTTACACTAGTCTGAAGCATCACGTTATGAAAAGCATATTTTTGCCTGTAGTGTCTTGCCTTAACCACTGAAGAAATGCTATATATGAAAAAAAAAATATATATATATATATATTACAGCTAAAATTAAAATTAAAACAGAAAATATAAAAATAAAAACAAATTCTAAATCTTATTAAAATTATAGTAATATATCAATGCAGCAGATAAGTGCATATTTATAAAAAAAAAATCTAAATTTGTATATTTAATATGCATACTATATCATATTTATAAAAATATTTCAATATTTAATGTTTAAAAGACAAAAACACAACACAATTACAAAAATTCTAACTTTAAAATTAAAACGAATATAATTAAAAATTATAATTATAGCAATATATGATGCTAATACAATGATTCTAATATAACTCAGAAACGTGCATACACCAAATCTGACAGATTTACTCCAGTCTATATTCTGGCTTTATCCAATGTTCAGATTAATGTTCTGAAAATGAATGCGAACTAGTGCAGTTTTAATTAAATAATGCCTCATTTGGATACATTTGGAAACATACTATTTCAGAAAAAGTTACAAATATTTGCGATTCCTACTGTAATCAATCAGACGGGGAAATATGCTAATATGTATTAGTCCACTGTTTTATTTTCACCTGAGTGTCTTGCCTTCAACCTTAAATCGCTGAAATATCACAGTATGAATAACATTATTGATATGTGAACGTCTGGTGTGTGAGGATGAGGAGGAGATGAAGATAACACTGAGTTTGTGAGCGATGAATACTGATGGTGTTTCCCAGCTTCAGCTTTATCCAGACTGTTTAATAATGACTCTACTGTACACATACTGTACATCCCGCTAGCGCTGTAATACTGACAGCAAATCAAACATTCATACAAGCAGGTCAGAAAGAGGAAGATAACACTGGAAACAAGTCCTGCTTCTCTATGTTTACTCTGGTTTTTAATACGTTAGCATCATTTTGAGAGACAGTAGATGTTTCAACAATCATTTAATTATAATAAATGTATATTTAGTTATATATTTAATTATTTTATCCTAATATTGATTTCAGTATAATCCATCAGGGAAAAATCTACTCATAATATCACTGTATTGTGTAATAGTTCAATTGTAATAAACTTATTTTTAGTTATATATAGTGTTATATTTATTTCATTATTTTTAATATTATCTTTTAGTGAAACATACATTTAAAAATGTCACTGTATTATGTTAATATTTTAATCATAATCAATGCATATTTTGTTATACATTATTCATTTGATTAATTTTAATATTATCCATTAGTGAAAAAATCTACTCAAAATATCACTGTGTTATGTAATATTTTAATTATATAAATTTATATTTAGTTATAGAATTTGAATATTATATTTATTTGATCAATTCTAATATTATCCATCAGTGAAAACTCTAATAAAAATGTCATAGCTTTCATTTTAATAATAATAAACTGATATTAAATGCAAATTTTAATGATATGAATTTATATTTAGTTATATATTTTAATATTACATTTACTTCACTATTTTTAATACGATCCATTAGTGAAAAAATACTACGTATTATTTAAATCATAATAAACTTTTATTTAACTATCCATTTCATTCTAATATTTATTATTTTATTAATTTTAATATTATCCATCAGTGAAAAAAATCTACTCAAAATGTCACTCGAGTATTTATAATACATTTATATTTAGTTACAGAATTTGAATATTATATTTATTTGATCAATTCTAATATTATCCATCTCTTTTAGTGAAACATACATTTAAAAATGTCACTGTATTATGTTAATATTTTAATCATAATCAATGCATATTTTGTTATACATTATTAATTTGATTAATTTTAATATTATCCATTAGTGAAAACTCTAATAAAAATGTCATAGCTTTCATTTTAATAATAATAAACTGATATTAAATGCAAAGTTTAATGATATGAATTTATATATTTTAATATTACATTTACTTCACTATTTTTAATATGATCCATTAGTGAAAAATATTACGTAATATTTAAATCATAATAAACTTATATTTAACTATCCATTTCATTCTAATATTTATTATTTTATTAATTTTAATATTATCCATCAGTGAAAAAAATCTACTCAAAATGTCACTCGAGTATTTATAATACATTTATATTTAGTTACAGAATTTGAATATTATATTTATTTGATCAATTCTAATATTATCCATCAGTGAAAAAAATCTACTCAAAATGTCACTCGAGTATTTATAATACATTTATATTTAGTTACAGAATTTGAATATTATATTTATTTGATCAATTCTAATATTATCCATCAGTGAAAAAAATCTACTCAAAATGTCACTCGAGTATTTATAATACATTTATATTTAGTTACAGAATTTGAATATTATATTTATTTGATCAATTCTAATATTATCCATCAGTGAAAACTCTAATAAAAATGTCATAGCTTTCATTTTAATAATAATAAACTGATATTAAATGCAAAGTTTAATGATATGAATTTATATATTTTAATATTACATTTACTTCACTATTTTTAATATGATCCATTAGTGAAAAATATTACGTAATATTTAAATCATAATAAACTTATATTTAACTATCCATTTCATTCTAATATTTATTATTTTATTAATTTTAATATTATCCATCAGTGAAAAAAATCTACTCAAAATGTCAATTTTAATATAATATAATCAAACCATTTTTAGTTATATATTTTATTTTATTAATTTTAATATTATCAATCAATAAAAGAAATTCTGCAATTGTCATTGTATAATGCAACAACTTTAATTATAATAAATGTATATTTAGTTATGTCTTATTCATTATTTTATTAAAATCCACTCAAAATGTCACTGTATTCATTTTGTAATATTTGATTGGTTATAAGACCAAGTAATAATTGTCTAATACTGCAAAGACTTTCCCGTTTCCCTTGTAAAGCCTCCAGCGATAAATGAGACGTCACCTTACACAAAATAATAATAATTAATAATAATAATGAATTAATGAATGAAAATCTTACTTGCCCTCAAAAACAGCTTGATATTTAGATTTTGGGCTGAAATATGACTTCAACATCATTTCAGAACACAGATATTTTCTTTATATTCTACTAACGAGATTTTATTAAACTATTCAAGCAATCTAAGGGCAGATTGAAAGACAGTAACCCTGTTTAAACCAGCCTAAGATGGTTAGGTGTCTGGTTTGATGGTTTTTGGGGGGTTTTGGATGCTTGTCAACAGAGCGAGACCATCTTAAACCTGCCAAACTCTTAAAGCTAAAGGTTCTTCATAGGCTTCTACTGGTTCCATGAGGAACCTTTAACATCAGTGGAACATTTCCAACTGAGCAAAAGTTTCTTTATAGTAGACGTCACCTTTCAGAATCAGACTGCGTGAAGATTAAACGATCAGAAGTGCGGTGAGAATATGAGAGAGATATTAAAACACGGCCGGATCGATGGAGAGAAAGAAATCAACAAACAAAAACATGATTTCAGTCTGCTGGGACGAATCTGATGAAAACATCTCACATTTCACACTAAAAAATAATAATAACAATTTAAAGTTTTTTAAAGGACCATTATGCTTTTTGTTGCAGTGTCTTATTATTTAAATGACAATTAAACATGTTTTCCCCAAATATTCATTTTATATATTTGTAATTCTCATTAAATTCTCATTATGTAAAAAAAAGCACTAATATCAGCATAAATTAAAGGCTCTATAACAAATACTATCATAATGTATAAACACTTAACCATTTATATATATATATATATATATATATTGAAATATATTGGCATATATATATATATTTAACTATTACTGAATTTGGGTGAAAATGTGATTAATTGCCTTGAACATTTCATAACACAAAATAATAATAATTAATAATAATAATGAATTAATGAATGAAAATCTTACTTGCCCTCAAAAACAGCTTGATATTTAGATTTTGGGCTGAAATATGACTTCAACATCATTTCAGAACACAGATATTTTCTTTATATTCTACTAACGAGATTTTATTAAACTATTCAAGCAATCTAAGGGCAGATTGAAAGACAGTAACCCTGTTTAAACCAGCCTAAGATGGTTAGGTGTCTGGTTTGATGGTTTTTGGGGGGTTTTGGATGCTTGTCAACAGAGCGAGACCATCTTAAACCTGCCAAACTCTTAAAGCTAAAGGTTCTTCATAGGCTTCTACTGGTTCCATGAGGAACCTTTAACATCAGTGGAACATTTCCAACTGAGCAAAAGTTTCTTTATAGTAGAATTTTTTTTTTCGATGATTAAAACAGTCTTCACATCAAGAAAATGTTTTTAAAGAACTGATTACTCAAAGGCTCATTGGTGAAAAAATGGTTCTCTATTGGCTTCTTTTGGTTCCATGAAGAACCTTTAACATCCCTTGAATCGTTCCAGGTCCTTTATAGTGGAAAAAGCTTCTTTAGATCATTAAAAGTGCTCTTCACACCAATGATTATTTTAAGAACTGATCACTAAAGGTTTAAGGAACCAAAAATGGTTTTTCTATGGCATCACTACAAAAAAAGTTCTTAAAAGAACCATCTTTTCTTGGTGTGAAGAATATTTCAATCATCTAAAGAACCCTTTTCCACTGTAAAGAACCTTCTGTGGAATTGGAAGGCTCATCATTGAACCATAAATTAAAATAAAGGTTCTCTATTGGGTTCTATTGGTTCCATGAAGAACCTATAACATTCATTGAATCTTACTTTCCAGTGGAAAAAAATAATTGAGATGTTCTTCACAACAAGAAAATAATGGTTCTACTAATAGTTCTTTGGGGAACCAAAAATGCTTCTTTGATGGCATCACTGCAAAAACACCTTTATTTTTAAGCATGTGGAACCTTTCCATTCAACAAAAGTACTTTATAGTGGAAAAAGGCTTAAAATGTTCTTCTTCTTATAAGAACTTTATATTTAACTATTACTGAATTTGGGTGAAAATGTGATTAATTGCCTTGAACATTTCATAACACAAAATAATAATAATTAATAATAATAATGAATTAATGAATGAAAATCTTACTTGCCCTCAAAAACAGCTTGATATTTAGATTTTGGGCTGAAATATGACTTCAACATCATTTCAGAACACAGATATTTTCTTTATATTCTACTAACAAGATTTTATTAAATTATTCAAGCAATCTAAGGGCAGATTGAAAGACAGTAACCCTGTTTAAACCAGCCTAAGGGGGTTAGGTGTCTGGTTTGATGGTTTTTGGGGGGTTTTGGATGCTTGTCAACAGAGCGAGACCATCTTAAACCTGCCAAACTCTTAA